AATTCTTACTCATAAAGACAAATTATCCCCTAGATCAGCCCCTTGTGTTTTCTTAGGTTATTCATTAACTCAGAAAGGTTATTTACTCTATAACCTTTCCTCTCATTCAGTTTCAGTTTCAAGGGATGTCACTTTCTATGAACATATCTTCCCTCTTCTTGGTCCATTTATTCACAAAATCCCTTTCCTCCTGCATTTGATTTTCTTGAAACAGAGTCAGCACCTTCCATTGTCACTTCCCCATCTAATACTACAATGCCATATGTCCAGTCTACATAACCATCTTCTCCTTCCACTAATCTGCCACCTGACCAGCACATTATTTCTCTTACTATTACTTTACCTTCACAGCCTGTTATTCATCCTTTTAGGAAATCCAATAGAACTACCAGGCCTCCTATTTGAACTTCTGATTTCATTTGTCCTACTCTTACACCCAATTCCTTAGCCAATGCTACTCCTTACCCTATTTCCAATTTTGTCACATATAACCATATTTCTCCTTCTTACAAGGCTTTTCTGTCCAATCTTCATTTGGTTGAGCCTTCCTTTTTTTCTTTAGCTTCTAAAGATCCAAATTGGGTGATTGCAATGCAAAAAGAAATACAAGCCTTAGAACACAATAAGACTTGGACTTTAGTCCCTTTACCCCCTGGTAAGGTTCCTATTGGGTGTAAATGGGTATATAAGTTGAAATATAAGGCTGATGGTTCTTTAGAAAGGTATAAGGCCAGGTTGGTGGCTAAGGGATATACTCAACAAGCTGTGGTGAATTATGCAGAAACATTTTCTCCTGTAGCGAAAATGGTTACTGTCAGAACCATTTTGTCTTTGGCTGTCATGAATGGTTGGCCTCTTTTGGATGTGGATAGTGCTTTCCTGCAGGGTGATTTGCAAGAGGAGATATACATGAATTTGCCTCAGGGTTTTGTTAAGCAGAGGGGGCAGAATATGGTTTGTAGGCTTCACAAATCCCTTTAGGGTCTGCATGGGAGTTTTTTTTTTCATTGGTTTTGGGGGGTTTTTTAATTAGACTGGTTTTGAGGTGTTTAAAAACCCCCACTTGCCAGATTTTTAATAGGCTGGTTTTGACTGGTTTAAAAACCCCCCAAAACCAGTGTAGTGTAATTTTGAGGGGTTTATAAAACACCCCAAATCGGGGTGTTTTGACTGGTTTAAAACTTTTATCCCAAAAAAACCCCTTTCCACTCCCTCTGCTGCTAGTTTTTTTTACCGTTCGGCTTGAAGAAACTTAAAATTATCTTCACACATGCTACGATTCTTTTCAATTGTATCTCTTGTTCTCTCAGTTCTATCAAATAATATTGTTTGGATATTATATAACTAGGTATTGATATGATATGTGGAGGCAGTTTAATTAGATGTGGCATCAACCTTTCCTGTCTTTTTGTTCTTTGTGAATACAAGAGATAACGAGCCAAGAATTTTGGACGCCACTTCTGCAACTGCAAGACCAGTAGCCCTCTAATAACTGTAAAAGTAGGGAGAGGATGGTACAGTTAGCATTAATGGTGCACTCTTCTTCCTGTTAATAAACTGGGAAATTAAAAGATTAACTTATTGAGAGGATCTTTACATGTGCTGAGTAACATTAAAACTGTCTTGTCTTTGATTGAAGTGGTGGAAGTGAAAGATAAATAATTCAAATAATATTTTATAATACAAGTTTCACATTCTCTCATTCCCATTAAATACATTATCATTCACAAGTATTTGCGCATGCTAATTTGTCTGTGATAGGGAGTCTGGTTAAACATGTTTTACGAGATCTGATGCAGATTTTAAGGGAGAGATTAACTCGTTTTCAATGACGCAAAAAGAGAGAAGTCAATTATATATATATTCATCAAAAACTTGAGCATACAATTGAAAAGAGTCGCACAATTTTCAACGCCTCTCAAGCAAACCACCACTATGTCCAGCATTCCAATTTGATAATTATAGCGTCTTCTACTCTTACTAAATTGGATAACCATGACACAGACTAATGATAATGGAAGTAAAACCCAAAACCAGGTGTTAAATAAGAAACATAAGTACAACTTTGTAATGACACCTTTTTCACTGCAAGTCAAATTTATAACTTTAAAGTTAATTAAGCAAAAAAGAGAGTGTTTTAACTTTATGGGTATTTATGTAAATTTATCATTTAAAAAAACTGCCAGAACCGTTGGAAAATAAACTCCCAAGCACGGGTTGGGTGTTTTAAAAACCGCTACTTAAAACCCCTCAAAACCGCTATGGTGATTTACCCTCAAAACCGCTATGGTGATTTACCCTCAAAACCGCTGCGATGGTTTACCCTCATAACCGCTACCCTAAAACTCCCAAGCAGACCCTTATGGATTAAAACAAGCTTCTAGGGCTTGGAACTATAAACTTACACATGCCTTAATCACTGGTGGTTTCTGTCAATCCAAATCAGATTACTCTCTTTTTATCAAAAGGCTTAGTTCACACATTGTTGTACTTTTGGTGTATGTGGATGACATAGTGATTACAGGAAGTAGTACTGAAATGATTCAGCAAACCAAACAACTCCTGCATTCTAATTTCAAGCTTAAGGACTTGGGATTACTAAGGTACTTCTTAGGTTTTGAAGTAGCTAGATCATCTAAAGGGATTATTTTGTGTCAAAGGAAGTATGCATTAGAATTGATTTCAGAATCTGGATTATCTGGTTCCAAACCCTTCACAATTCCAATGGATTCCACTTTGAAATTGACATTTGTTGAATATGATGAAATGTTTCCTTCAGCCAATGATCCATTACTTCCTGACCCAAGTATATATCAAAGGTTAGTAGGTAAGTTGCTGTATTTGTGTATGACTCGACCAGACTTGAGTTTTTCAGTCAATTTATTAAGTCAATTCATGCATAAACCTAAGGAATCACATCTGAAGGCAGCTCTCAAGATAGTTAAGTATGTCAAGACATCACCAGGATTAGGCCTATTTTTTTCCAGCAGAAAACAGTATGACTCTGTCAGCCCATTGCGACTCAGATTGGGCATCTTGTCTTATGACCAAAAAATCTGTGACAGGCTACTGTGTTTTCCTTGGTAAGTCTCTAATATCCTGGAAATCCAAGAGGCAAGCAACCATTTCCAAATCCTCATCTAAGGTAGAATATAGAGCAATGTCTACTACTATATGTGAGCTTCTTTGGCTGGTACAACTCCTCACAAAGCTTGATGTTTCAAAGTCTCAACTACTGCCTATTCCCCTACATTGTGATAATCAGGTTGCAAACCATATAGCTTCTAATCCCATGTTTCATGAGAGGACAAAACACATTGATCTTGACTGCCATATGGTCAGAGATCAGCTCAAACTTGGTCTCATACAAACTGCCTATATTCCTACTGCAGAGCAACCAGCTGACTTATTGACTAAAGCACTCGGAGGTCACATTCATTCCAAGCTATTATACAAGTTGGGGGTTCTTGATCTCTACCACCCTCCAACTTGAGAGGGGGTGTTATATAGTTGTTATAACTATAGGGAATCAGTTACTATATCAGTTTAGTTTACAGTTCAGTTAGTTAAGTTGTTTACTTGAGTTAGTTACAACCTGAGTTAGTTAACTAGTTAGTTGAGTCAACTTATCTAAATGTAATATAAATGCACTTATACAGTAACGAGAAGACTAAATCAGTTGAATCAGTAAAGTAATATTTTTCCCCAAATTTCCCTCTGTTCACCGAGACTGAAACTCTTCAACACTATGAATTTATCATTTGAATTAAAAAAAATAAAATAAAATAAAAAATAACACCCCTAGTCTTTTAACACAACGGTTCAAACCTTCCCTCACAAAGACTACAACAGAAAAAGTTAAAATAAAAATTTGGTAATTAAAGGAAAAAAAAATTATCGTTTTCTGAGTGGTTGGCTAAAAATAACATTAGATTCGTTTCTCCAAGTTTAATGGAAGACGTTATTGAATGGTTTAAGGGATTTAATATTAGTCAAATCATTTTTGAGAATGTGTAAATAATTATATATAAAAATGAACAAATAAAATCACCGTTTATCAAAATTTAAATAAATATATGGAGCTATCATTCAAAATTCTTCCTTAATTATTTAATTAACAATTTGGAGACACAAGTAATCCTTCCATTATAATTTTCCTAATTTTGAAAAGAAAATAATAAATATAATATCAACACAAACAAAAATGATAACCCCCAAAGTTATTAAGCTCAGCCGGTTTATGCTTTGTTTAATCAATACATTATTTTTAATTCTTGTACGTGTAGCGATTATATAATGTTTTCCCCTCTTTTCTTTTGAATTCTGGTCATACATTAAGAAACAAAACAAATAATAATATGCAACAATTTAGAACATACTATATTGCTAGCATCTTTTGGTGAAAAGATAAATTGTAACTTCGGATATCCAAAAGCCAGAAAGTACATGTTTGAGTTTGGTTAAGTACGGTTTCTAAATATAAAATATTTCTAAATATTTTATGTTGATGTCGTGACAATAAACTAACGAAAAAGAAAATAATAAAGATGACGAAACCTCCTTTTTCACTTAATTAAAATTACATTAATTTCTTCATCATCTCAACCACCACTCCTTAAACACCATTGTTGATTTTCATATTCAAGTGTACTCAATATAATGAGCTCTGAGAAAGAAAAGGTTTTATTCAAACATTGTATTATACACACAATGGCATGCTATTCATAAAGAAGCCCATCTAAGAAAAAGAAAAAAAAAAAAAAAAAAAATCCCTCTTGATTTTCACAGTTAATTGCAATTTCCTTCCTGAAATATTATTTAACAACAGTTTTCCATGTCAGTATTCTGTTTGGGTTTCGCTATTTAATTTAGTGAATCAGAAAAAAAATGGTGTAACCCTAACGAAATAACGACGATAGAGATAAATTGTTATTTTAAATATGGAAATGACATTTAACTTGTATTTCACCATGAATATCAAACTCTAAACCAATGACCAATCAAATCCTAGCTTTACTATGCATTAAAGGCGTAAACCTAGAGCAAGACCATTTACTTTCCTTACATGAAGATGAAGATGAAGATGAAGATGAATCAAAACCCACCTCTTGAATCAACTTCAAAAACTCATGCACCTCTAAGCTTCCATATTTCTTCTCATTCTTTTCAAGAAACTTCAACACTTGTTTAAAGAAGTCAACTTCACAAGGCAACACAATGCCCCCACTGAACTTGAACCCATATTCCTCTTCAGCTATATTAAGAAGATACACAAAAATAGGAAGGTTCAAGAACCTTGTGGGGATCAAGAACCTCATGCGTACCTCACCAACATAAACCGTGAGAAAACCAGAAGGAATGTGATGGGAAGAACCAGACGCCGCGGCCGATGACATCGCCGAGTCGGAGAGGGTGATGGTCTTCCAGCTTTTGATGAGTTGTTTCAAATGAATGATTTGCGAGATTGTGGTGACTTTGGTAATTGCCATAAGAGAGAGCAAGAAATTGAGAGAGACTCTCTCTAAATAAAGGAAAATTGTGAATAGAAATAAGTTTGGTGTAATTTCTATATATACATAGTTTGAATTGATTGCAAGGTTTGAATCTAGAAGCAATAATGATATGTTTAGTATAGAGGACCGCAGTTTTTTTATAGGTCTTTTTTTTTTTCTCTCTCTCTCTCACTCTTTGTTTGATTTCTTAAATCATTTTAATCTATATGGATAAAGTAGATTAATCATAATATACCAAATAATATTAATAATAATATAGCAGGGATATATACTTATATGGGTTTATTTTATATACAAGTATTGTGGAGCATATGTGATGTCACTTGGAAGAAAGGATTAACAAAACTCAATTTAGTTGGTTGAACAATGAAATGAAATGGTGGCTAAATTTTCAAAATATGGAGATCCAATCACTTTTAAAGAATACCTTAGGGTTTAATGAAATAAATAAAAAGTTTTTTTAGGTTTCTTAAATAATACAAATTGCGTCCGAACTTACTTTATTATGAGTTAATAAATATTTATTAAATTATTATTTTAGTTTTATTATATATATATACATATTTTGAAACTTCAAGGAAATCTTTTTTGTTTAGTTAAATCTCATGGGGAGTATTATTGTTATTAGCCCTATAATGTATTTGTTAGATATTTACTTTGTTGGGCAAGGAAGTTAGGAAAACTGTGGTTAAAGTTCTTAAACATATCACGATAATTGATAAGTGTTCTATCTTGTTACGTTCTCTAGAAAAGACATAACTTAACTTTGGAGATTAAAGGGATTTTGATGGAACAATAGATGATTCTTGACAACAATTGAAAGAAAAATAGAAAACAAAACTATGAGGATTGATTGAAATTTAATGGGTGGAAATGGCATTAAGCTAGATTAATTAGATTTAATTAACCTTGTGGATCTAATAAATGCACAAGAAAGACTAATAAGTTGGAAATCTTTTGAATATAGAAGGAACCAATACCACAACAAAATAACTCAAAATTGAGTGAGTGGTTGAATTTCATTAATAAATTAAATATCATCAAAAGTTAAAGAATCCTCATCTATACTAATAAATAATTCGATATCTTTTTGTTTCTTCTTGAAATTAAAAGGATGGAAAGCTAGCTATAATAATCTAGCCTAACTAAATCTCCAGTCATGAACAAGATGTACCTAATTCATATGGGTTGTTGCAAATTAAATTAAACTAAACTTAACATCTCTAATTCATTACTCACTTAATTAATAACCCGGTCCCCAGGTTAAGTCTCATGTAATGTCTGGTGTTAGATTTGAAAATTTGTGTATGCATGCAGAATTTGATCACTAATGCGATTGTGCTAGGTTTCATCACTCAGTTACTTTGATAAAATTTAGTTGATTAGATGGTTTCTTCCTCCTCCATCGATACTTGTAGGTGATAATTCATTAAGAAAAAAATAATTAATTTATAAATATGTCAGAGTTTATTTATTCTCTTCCTTAATTTCTCACAGAGTGATGTCATTTAACCCCAATAATGATTTTAAAAATATATATATATATATTTTTAAACTTATAATTACCACCAAAAAAAAAAAAAAAAAGACATTTATTCTTTTAGTCAGCCCACATGTTATAATAATAATATAATAATAGTAACAACTAGTTTTCTCAGTGTTTTAAATTCATTGTTTGGAAATCATGTTATCATTTTTTTTTAAACAATGGGAATAAAATAATAACGGATATTTCCATTAACTGATTTTGCTTCAGGTTTGCTTTTACATTTTCAGTTTAGCTCTTTTTAAACTTGTAAGTTAAATAATGGTTAAGCTACTTTTAATTTTATGATATATAGGGGGACGATAAATAAAAAAATTATTTTAATTAATTGATATTTCTTTTATTTTCTGGAATAAAGTAATAGTGTAAAAAAATAAATAAATAAATAAACTGTATGAGGAAAAGTCAACTCAATTTTATAAGAGAATAATATTATATGTACAAACTCTTTCATACAAACTAATGTGTCAAATAGTGAAGGGAAGAATGCACGTAAAATGTCAACTCATTAAAATGTTTAATAAACATAACTAAATGGTAGGCCTAGGGATGGGCACGGGCCGAGGTGGGGCTGGGGACCCCTGTCTCCAGCCTTGGCCCGAAAGCCCAAGGGGATTCCCTAGTCTCGGCCCGTAACCTGAACGAGGAATTCGGGAATTCTCAATTAGGCCCAATCCCCAAACGAGGAATTCAAGGAATCCCCGAAATCCCTGTTTGGGGGTTTTGCATTGTAATTTTTTTTAATTTATAATAATTAAAAAAATTATAATGAATCAAAATATCAAATATATATATATATATATATATATGTATATGAGGATGGCAACGACTCAGTAAAAAACATACAGAGCTACTCTTTCCCTGATGTCTCCGTCCAGCCTAGACCAGGCCTGCGTATTTCTTCCTGTTGTTGCTCATAATCTTGGGCATCACGGATTGAAGCTTCAAAATCAGTTGAATCACTTGCAACAGGAAGAAAACTACTTATATCATCTCTTGCCCCAAGACCCCCAGCGCGAATAACATCATCTGGTGTTATTGTGGCCTCCATGTTTNTTTCAGCCTTCATATCTGTTTATTGGGCTACTTTGAGCCTTCATTGTATGGGCCTCTCTCACACTTCCCTTCATTAATTGGGCCTCGTGACGCCTTGTGACAAAAACTAGACATCAACTAATTTAATCAAATAATGAAATTATTTCTGCTATTTAAGAAATAACATAAATTCCCTTACTATTAATGAGTCGTTATTATATCGTTAGATTTTATAAGATGATAAATAAATAAATAAATATTTATCTAATTATCTTTTATCACTTCTTTTAATATTAAAAAATAAAAAATAAAAAAAATTTAACGGTTAATGAATTTTTAAAAAACACCTTGTTTGAAAGTTTTTAAAAAATAATATACATTTTTCACTTAGGTACACCTCAAGAATTTTGTAACTATTTTCAATCAATTTTCTCTTTAAGTACATAATCACTTTATAACCTTACTCATTTTATTGGGCCTCAACTATCATTTATTTTTTCCAAAACAAAATTTAAGTATTTAAATTGAAAGTAAAAAAGAAGATTAAAAAAAAAAATGGCAATAACATTCACAAGTATTTGATTCATATTATAAAAATAAAATCTTTTGGCATCAAAATTGGTAGTTGTAGCCTTGTAGCCAGTGTTCTAAAACCTTACCTGAGGTGTCACCTGACCAAGGGGTCGGGTCTCAGGATGATCGGTCTAACCAATGATCCAGCAGGTTTAAAATATAGCAAATACACCGCTAATAAATACATCAATCCTTACAAGTTTGAAATCCAACAAACACACCCTTGTGACAATTAGGGTATCCCTTTTCCCGGTTAAATTCCGGTAGCCAAAATTCAATCCAACACCACCACCTAAACCATTAGCCTCTACTTTATAAAACCCCTCTAACCTCGACACTTGGCAGCCTACCGTTCGCTAGTTGTGACTTGCGTATATCGTTGCAATTGGATTGATTTTTTGGCCAAATTTCAACTAATTCCAGCGTCCAAAATTTAATCTAACACCACCACCTGAACCACTAGCCTCTACTCTACAAAACCCATCTAATCCTAACACTTGGTAGCCCCCTATTCAACAATTGTGACTCGCGTATACCGTTGCGATTGGGTTGAAACAGTGAAAAGTAGTAACCTAACTTGGAGAATGCCCTGGGTCTCAGTCCAACCAGTTAAATCAGTCGGGCTAGGCTAGGTTTCAAAACAGAGCTTGTTGGAAGTTCTACTAGAAATGTAAGCCTCAAAAATGAGATTTTTTGGGAGATGATGAAGGAAATTAAATAAATAACTTAAATTAGAAGAAAAATATTGAAATAAAACTACAAACTTACAATCAGTGTTAGGATTGAAACTAAAAATTAATTTCAAAGGGATAAGTATACATAAAAAAACTATAAACCTTTTTTTGTGTGAGGAAATTTATTAATAAACAGCACTTTATTGAAGCTTTATGAAAATAAAAATATTTCCATCCTCACGAAGACGATAAATAAATTTATTTTATTTTGTCACATGAAAAATTGAACTTATTATAACTTGTTAAGAAACGAGACGAAACTCATTTTAATTCAAAGTTTTAAAAATAAAATAAAAAATGTGTGGAAATAGGCGAAAAGAGGATACAAAATTGTTGGTAGAGAATTAAAATTACTCATTAAGCTTAAGAGATATTATTTCATGAATTTAAAATAATCTTGAATAATGCTGTAATTAATTTAAAATTTACATTTTTTTTTTTTTTTAATTATTCATTCAAGATTAGCTCTGAGCTGCTAGGTATGGGGTTTTTCTGCAAAATAAAACAACTCTATAATTTATAAGTAATTTTATTTAAGAGTAATTTTGTAATAAAATATTTTACTAAATAATGGATGTGGAGAATATTTGCATAAGATAAGACTATTTACACCTAAAAAAATTAATTCTAGCATCCTTTACTTTCCTAGTTAAGTACATAGTCAGGTTGAAAATTACAATTAACTTTTATTAATTTAAGGTGAAAAGACTTTTGCTCTTACTAATGTATAGAAAAAAGGATTACATAACGAGTAACCAACTTTCCCAAGGTTTGCCTTAATGACACTTTTCCACACAAAAGTTTTAAAATACCGCTTTTCCACCCAACTTTTATATTCTGCAAATACCTAAAATACACTTCACTTTTTCAATCAGTATTCGGCGAGTTGCCAAGAGCCAAGGTAAGAGATTTTTTGTAGAGTAGAGGTCGGTGAATTGAATAGTGATGACCAATTGAATATTCGTTGCTAGAATCAGCCGAAAATCATTTAAGAACATGAAACCCTAACTCTGCGGTGATCGACAGTTAGAGAGAAATAAGGTGCCGAAGTGAGGGTTTTGTAAAGAGGAAACCGAAGGTTCAAATGGTGACGACCGAGAGAATTTTTGCCATTGGAATCGGCTTCAAGTAGTAACGGAATATTAACATTGGGTGGGAAAGTAGTATTTTGAAACCTCTTAGGTGGAAATGTGTCATTAAGGCAAACCTTGGGTGGGAAATAAGTTCGTTTAATTATAATAACTAATTATATAGTATTTGTGTATTGTTTATTATTATTTTAACAAATATAATGCAATGTCATATAGACATATATCTTATGTTATTTCAAATTGCAATAAAGGGTCTTGAAAAAGGTAAATATTTTCATCATATAAGTTACAAATATATGTATAGTCATGTCCATTTTAATCTGTATATATACATTCCTTTTAAAATTCACGACACTAATAATTTTTTTTTTTAAATTTACATCTAATTATTGTTTCAACAGAATCAACGGTGATATATAAGGGTGCGTTTGGTTTAGTATTTTGGATAAGATTTTGGGGATAGTATTGGGTTATTGGATAGGGGAGTATTACGAGGTAAATTTTAAAAATTTGTAAAAAAACCCTTAGGTTTACTAATTTAATTAAAGACCCTAACAGATAAAATGACAAAAACACTCCCACCACCTGCAGTGCCAGATTCCGGCCACCACCGCCAGAATCTGACCGAAAAATTTTGTTACGGCACAGACCGGTCGGATCTATGCTGTAACACGTAGTTATGGCCTTTTCTGGCCAGATCCATGGTGGATCTGGCCGAAAAAGGTCAGATCTACGGTCTGTTATGGATGTCGACGATCGAAAAAGGCCAAACGATGGCCATCTTTGACCGTCACTGAAGGCCAGATATGGTCTTTTCCGGCCAGATCCGTGGTAGATCTGGCCGGAAAAGGCCACATTGGTGAACTTCCGACCATTTCTGGTCGGAAGTTAGGCCGTTGTACAGATTTCGGCTATCACCGACGGTGGTTGCCAGAATCTGACAAGTTGGGTTGATGGGGGTGTTTTTGTTAATTTTTAAACTTTTTTTTCAGGGGGTATTTAGTGAAATTAATAACCTTATGGAGTCTAAAAGTAATTAAAAAATAAGGTAATATTTTTGGAATAATATGCCAAATATTATTTAGAGAATAGGATCCAGAATATGGATAAAAATACTAAGCTAAACATAGCCTAAATTATTTTACTCACGATAAAGACAATGAAGGCCATAATTAAATAACTGCATTTGAGCAAGCATGCATACAATATTGAAAAGCATCCAACTGAATATAACTTTGTGAATTGTGGCGGATTTTTCAATTTCCATGATTTGTAAGTTGTAAAATATATTTTGAACAGCATCGTCAGCAGAATATTAAACTATTAAGGTTTAAAAATTCAAAATGATTCCATTAAACATATATTTATTTGATAATCTAAGCAGACATTGATAGATAATAATAAAATATATATAGTTAATTTCTAGTATCAATGTTCTTAAATTTTTAATACGTGGATCAGAATATTCATAATATATATTAAAACTTCATAATATATATACCGTTTCCAGATGCACGTGAGAACTTTGTATATACAGTTAATAACTAGCTGTGATTTTGATCCTCAAAAAATATATCAACTCACTTTTACCAAAACGTATCGAATTAAAAAATAATCGTTAACTTCATTACCAAGAACAAAGCTTATTAAGCCCTGATTAAAAGTCTTAATTTAACTTAAGAGCAACCATTTTCCCCACCCAAGGTTTGCCTTAATCATATTTTCACCCAAAAAGTTTCAAATTACCACTTTTCCACCCAAAGTTTATATTCCGTTAATACTCAAAATTCACTTCACTTTCTGAGCCAGCATTCGGTAAGTTACCAAGAGCCAGGGTGAAAGGCGTTTTGTAAAGTGGAGGCCGGTAGATCGAATGGTGGTAATTGATTGAATATTTGCCGTCGGAATCAACCAGAAATCAGCTAAGAACATGAAACTCTAACTTTATAGTGGTCGACAATCAATGAGAAATCAAGTGCCGAAGTAAGAGGAGTTTTATATAGAGGAGACCGGATGTTCAAATGGTATGACGAAGAGAATTTTTGCCATCGGAATTTGCTTTGGGTAGTAACGGAATATTAACCTTGGGTAGGAAAGTGGTATTTTGAAACTTCTTAGGTGGAAAGTGCCATTACGGCAAACCTTGGGTGGGAAAAAGTTGTTTACTCTTAACTTAATTAACCATATATTTAATTAGGCCTGCAACAACTTGCCACACTCACACAGCTCATCAACTATCTATTTATAATATTAATAATTTGGAAAGTTTTAAGTTACATGGAGCGTTAATTTTTCACTTCTCACTCATCTTAGTCATTTTGTTGTTTAATTCAACTGCCCCCAAAAATTGCTCACCATGGCCTGCCAGCCTAATCTAAAGGAATGCCATGAAATATTGGGTGGACGATGCAATGTTTTTGTAATTTTATGTTCTTAATTATCTAAATAATCTTCGTTTGATTCCACAGTTATTCAACTTTTAATATTCTTGGAGTCAAGAGAAGAATAACTCTTTCTGTTTTTCTATTTTCTTTTCCTGTGATTGATTTCACTTGCATTAATTTCATTAGATTATCTTCACTAATTTCATATCAAATATTTTATTTTTCGCATGATTAAATGGTAAATCCAATGTGAAGGGAAAAAGCTTTATTTTGTTAATGAAGGAAATCTGGTTTCTTGAGTTTTAATTCTTCATATGCTTTTGATTCCTTCTTTATTATTGCATGAAGCTTTCTTAATTCATAACGCTCCAGCCATATGTTTCAACAGTTTTATATGCCGCAAATATGTTTTATCAACAAACCGAAGAAAATCTTACAGGTATGGTTATTTGGGGCTCAAAACCGAGGAAAAAAACAAAAATATATACAACTTGGTGAGAATTCAAGGGAATCATTGTTCAAAGGAGAATCGTCCAAGGATAATAAGCGAGGCTCAAAGGCGCTGCAAGATGTTCCAAAAGGGTACTTGGCAGTGTATGTCGGTGCAGAGCTTCAAAGGTATGTGATTCCGATGAGTTATTTGTCGATGCCGGATTTTAAGGTTTTGATGGACAGTGTTGCTGAGGAATTTGGTTTTGAGCAAGAAGGTGGCCTTCAAATTCCCTGTGAAGAGGAAGATTTTCAGAAGATACTACTTAGATGTATGGCAATCCACCGAAGCATGTCCAAGATCAAGAACAAGAAGGAAAATTGAAAGAAGAAAATTCAGAAGATTAATTTGTATTTTTGTTATTGATTTATATTTGTATAAGCATTAGGGTTATAATATTTTTGTTCTTTGCTTAATTAATAAGTAAACTTTTGTTCATTATCTTTTAATGCTTCATTTTGGTTTACATTGGTAGGTTTAGTAGTTCTTACTTCTTAGTGTATATTGTTCAATTAAAGGTTTTCTTGTCATTTTTCTGTAAAATTAAGTAACTCCATATTTGCAAGTTTTGGCAATTACCTTGTATCATGACATTTCAAATTTTTTTTTTTGGTTATGTCATTTATATATATTTGATTAATTTATTTTATTTTTTAAAACCTTTTATCCTTATAGGTATCAATTTTTATATACTAATAGTTTAAGTTACAAATTCTTTATAAACATTTAGTTTTTTTTTTTCCTAGGAAAAATGATATATGCATGGTCCAATGTAAGATGTCTAAAGATATGTACTTGTAGAGTGTTTCTTCTTCTAGATGAATACCACAAGGGTACAACAATAATCATACCAAAAACCAATGAACTTATATCATCTCTCATTATAAATCTGATGGATAGTTGTACGGAATTAATCTAGTTAGATTTAGTTTTATTATTCTTGTTAAATATGGATTAGTCTTTATTAGTGTCCAAAAATGGTTCTCAGCTCCAACTAGTGGTAGTGATGGACTCTGAGTTTCTGGATCTGTTGCTTTAAATCTCCTCCTTCTCCAAAGCTTCAAAAAACTTTTCTAGCTGTTGTAAGCTTTCAAAGTGCTCCAGCAGTGGTTGTAATGGCTAAAAAACAAAAAATAGCAGGGGTTTTGTCGACATAGGCTCCTCACACTTAAGTCAACACAATGAACAATGGAGAAGCTCTTTGATGAGCTTAATTAGAAGGAAGATCAATAAAAAATTGAACTCATTCGAATAAAAAAACAGAGGAAAAGGAGGAGTAATCTCTTCAATATAATTTCAAAGAAAGCTCAGTGAAGAAATGGAGCCATTGCTCAAAATTAAAAACCTATGAATTACTTACCTTGCAAGGAAATCAACTTTCTTTATATAGTGCTAGAGTTTTGGTTTTTGGCTGACTAGTGGTTTAATAGAGCAATAACATGAGGCGTGTTGATGCTTAATTTTGACACCAACTATTCGCACGTGTAAAATGCTAAAATGACTTAGAAGTCACACGTGATATGAAGGGATTGAATTAAATAAAAGGTGAAGAACAATATTTAAAGTGGTTCGGATGCTCAAAAGCAAATCCAACATCCACTACTATTGTATTAATAAGACAGAGAGGTCAAGTCGTATTCAGCGAGCTGAGTTACAGTTTAGAGAGAGAATACAAGAGAGAGAGAGAGAGAGAGAGAGAGAGAGAGAGAGCTAGCTATTTCAGAGTAAAATTAGCTAATCCCCTACAAATGAGAGGAAAGTCTTCTATTTATAGTGGGAGAGTTCAAGGTAATGATTATAAAAGATACAAGTGGGTAGGTGCCGTGGAAATCCTTTCTTTGCATCCCATTGGTCACATACCCAAGGGATTTCCTCGACTAAAGAAGGGCTTTGACACGTGGGCGATCTCCAGCCGCTTGCTGGCCTAGCACTCACCTACTGCACTGACAGGAGTTATATCACTTGCACTAGGCGTGACATGGCCGCACCTGGACGGCACAGAACCCTTCTGAGCTCTGACCATCCTTTACTAACGAGGCTCCACGTCAGCCCTACTTTTTCAAGCATAATAGAAGTCCCCCAGTTTTTAAGGTTTAAGGATTGAACCTTGAGAACTTCATAATTATGCCATGATTTGACATATCCCAAATGACGCCTGGTTGAGCCGACCTGGCTACAAAGATGTCGCAGAACATTTTTCTACGAGTGACCTGAGATCGTCTTTTTTTGCGAAGTTGACAACCTGGATTAGACCCTACTCAGTGCCGTATCGATGCACCTCTCATCTTAACCGAGGTCCGCGACCTTATTATACTTAGCATATTTCTGCTGGAGGCAAGGAATCACATCGCTCTACAATCAGCATGCGACGAAGAGTGTTCTATTCCAACGACCTCTTCAGATGTTATCCGTTGCGTTTTGATGAGAATACAAAATGTCATATTTACCCCCCTTAATGTCTAGTCTTTTATACTTATTTTTTGCCTATATGTACTCATTATTATTCTATTTTGATTTAGGATGCAAATGGAGGCGTTAAATGCAAAACGAAACTAATTAGGTGAATTCGGACAGTTTCGACATTGCTTTGTAATCTGAGCATAACTCTCTCATCCTAGCTCCAATTGAGATGATTAAAAATGCTATGGAACTATAAGAAAGAGATATAGAACTTTCTTGTTTTGAGTTTGGAGAGATACTCGCTGCATCAAGGTTGTAATCGGGCTTGAAGTTGATGCACATGCATTGTTGACGTTCTGGAACATTCCGCCTTGTCATGCAAGTCAAATAGGCAGTTTATTAGTGGAAGTTTTGAAGACCTGTTGCACGCAAGTTACACCTGGAAACACCACTTTCCTATTTTATATTAGGACTTTATTTTATTTTCAATTAACCAGATTAAGATAAATGTTATTTTAGGATATTAGAATATTTTTAGGAGATTGAGTAGAATTCAAAGACTTGAATTGGATATTTTTAAGAGGGGGAGAGAGATCAGATAAAAGGGGAACACATACGCCTTTCCTTCTCCTCTTCTTGAACTTCTTTTGAGTTTTTCATGATAGCCATGAGCGGCTAAATTTTCATAACTTGGTTGAAGGAAATGGAGGCCTCGAAATCAATAAAACTGTGAGATCTAATCTGGTTTTTTTAGTGTTCAATATATGTTTTGAGTATTGGATGTTCTTCTATGCCTATTTTGATGATTGTTTCATTTAATTACTAGGAGGCCTGCTAGTTTATTAATTGTTGCAATCGATTGCTAAATTAGATATCAAATCTGTAATTGTTTGATCCCTCTAATTTGTGAGTAACTAAGAGTTAAGAATTTGCTGCTTCATGAATTATTAAATCTTAAGAAAAACACTCGACTGAATTAGATACAATCGCTTGTGTTTGTGTTGTTCAGCTTCATCGATCTCTCTAGTTCTTAAGGTTGCCACTAGATTAAACCTTTAGCGCTTGTCTTGGGTTGTTTAGTAGTAAGATTAATTAGATCGCTTGTTTCCTAATTAACTGCAACTATGGAGAGATAGGAAAATAGTTCCAACGGTGAATACTCAAAGTAACAATAGATATATACTTGCATCGATGATCAGTTGTAAAATTCCGATGGTGGATGTTGACTTAGACCAAGGTTTGTTATTTTGATTGATTTCGATAATTTAATTTGAATTGTTTTTCCTGAAATTGTTTCCGTTTTACTCAACCTCCCTCCCAGCCTTGTTCACGTAACATAAAACTCGGCTAGACACTCTGCATGAGAACAATCCTTACTCACACCACTACATGTGTTTTTAGGTTTTAATTTTGGTTGCCTGCGACAGCACACCACGCTTGACAGCTAATCCATTAATGAAGTATCCTTTATTCTGACAAACGTGTCCTGTGTGCAATAAGTGTCAGCCATACGCATTAAATGCAAGTCATGCTGAAATGACATTCTTTATGAGGGCATTAAATGCAGATGAGAGCACATTTAATGTGGAGGAGAGAATCGAGCCGTCGCTCGATTACTTCAATGGAGAGAAACGACGATTGAATTTCTCAAAGCATGGCGGTTACTCCTTCTCGTCGATTGATGACACGTGGTCGTGATCAATGATGAGAGACGCATTCCGCCCAAATGTCACTTGGCTTCGAGAAGACCAATCGTCATTTCCTTCATTATAAAACCCCAGGCTCGCCTTAAGTAATGTCACAACACTCATACTTTCAGAAAAAGCAAAAAGCTCTCATGAGACCAGATTTTTCAATCCTTCAAGTTGGTGCTCACTTTCCATTCATAGTAAGAAGTTCACCCTCCATAGCCCAGAGGTAAGGAAGATCCTTCTGTTACTTATCTTTTTTTTGCTTCGAATGTAGCTTATTCAGGCGATAATGGTGGGTGTTTATGGCTAGTCTTCTATATGAATAGGTTTTTAGGGTACGAATCATTGGGGGTGATCCCTAAGGATTTTTTAGGGTTTTTGGAAGATACATCAAGGTTTTGTTCTTCCACGTCGTCGTACAAAATTATGTACGGAGACTAAGTAATCTCTGCGTGTCCCCCTTTTTCAGACCGTAGAAGAGATGGACCCTACAGCGACCAGAATAAATAAGGGTACGAGCGACCAGAATCAAGATGCCCTAACGGGCTCTTCGCAGGAGATTCTGTCAGTGGCCATCCTGAAGGAGATACAAAATGTGGTAGATTAGTACGCACTTAGCCTAGATGTATTCCGATACAGGTCATGCACAGCTCGAAATCCCCTAGAGGGAATGGCCACTGTCTCTAAGTCCATTTTTAAATGCGGGGCATTAATTCCTTTCCACCCCTTTATCAAGTCGATCCTCGATTACTTCGAGGTCGCACCTCTGCAGTTGACGTCGAACGCATATATGATAGTCGTGGCTATGTATATTGCGTGTGTCCAGAATGGCCTCGACCAGCTGACTATGTTGGAGCTCACTTGCTCGTATTACTTGAAGAAGAGCAAGGGTAAGGATTCTTATTACCTCTCGAAGCGATCTTCGATCGAAGGACGCATCTTTAATTACCCTAGTAATGTTGGGGCGTATGAGACTAAGTTTTTCTTTTTTCGTTATGACGGCGTCTACCAATTCAAGGAACCGAGTAGGTCTTCCCTTCTTGTACTTAGTGAATTTTTTATTTTCTTTTTGGCTTTGCTTTCTAACGATCTTTCTTGTGTCTTCACAGGAAACAAGTCAACTAGGCTGACAGATCTCACTGACTTCAACCGAATAGTATCATTCGGTAACCTGCTAGATTATTGTCGCGACGCGAAACTGCTTGTAACAACTGCAAATTTGAGGAAGTATGA